AATAATAATAATAATAATGCAAATATGATAACATGTCACAAACGTGGATAATTAGAATTTTAAAATTTAAATCATGAAATAAAAAAAGTGAGATTTAGGGGACGTTTGAGTGTGGGATAATGAGTCCAATTAAAAATTAATTAGATGTAATGCAGTTAAAAATATTCACACTATTATATATATTTATAAGATAAAAAAAATTAATATATGAAAATTATACATATCCCAAATATATCATTGTCTCACATGATTAGAAATTTTGATCATCTATATGATCTGAAATGTAAACTTTTTTCCCTAAAAGTGGAGAATTAGATCATCCCAAATTTTTGTTGAAGGGAAAAAATGTTTTTAAATTTTGTCTAAACATCAATTTTTTATATTTATTTATGTGAATTTTAATAAATTTAAAAAAAAATTATTTTTTTATAATCTTTCAATTCAAACTCAAATTAATTTAAAAAAATGTAACTCTTTTAACACTTGACCAAAATAATTTGATAACCAAAAAAAAAAAAATTTTCCTTCAAGCTTTTTCATTCAATTTTGTGTGTCGGCAAATTGCAAATTACACTTGTGTTGAACCAACGTGAGCTTCAATCATTGATGCACACATTCACATCCAATCTTCCTCTGTTTGACACATTCACATGCAATCTTCCTCTGTTTGACCAAATTTCATATACTTTGCGACTCACGTTACCTTCCCTAATAATTAAGAGGAACACAGCCCAAGGTACATTTTTTTTTAATTGTCACAAAAATAAAATACTTAGTTTAACAACTCTTTTATCATTTATTTATTTTTTTATATTATTTAAATAAATATCTCTTCCAATCAAAGCTTGGGAAGAATCATACATATGACAGGGTCAATGATTAGGTTTAGCTCTTTTCTTTTTTTTTTTTTTTCAATTTACCATTTAGTATTTCAGGAAACAGTTTTGTGAGATATTTTTTGTCAAATTTTTTATGTATAATTAAAAAAAGCTCTAAAGAAACATCAAAATTCAAAATTCAAAATTCGTTGACAAATGTTAACAAATATTTTATTGTATAATTTTTTATGAAATTATTAATATAAAAAATTATAATCATATTCAAATATTATATATAAAAAATTAATTATTCAAATTAATAAATCATTGAAAGAATAAATCAGCACTTAATTAAATAAATTCAACATAAAATTAAATGAAATTCATATATGATGAAATTAAAATTTAAAATTTTAAGAGATCAAGACTTCTTTATCACTAAGCCGAAACTTTATTGGCATATGCTATCATGTACTTGAAAAACTAATAATATTATATATTGAAGATAACCTTTCACTCTTGGTAACAGAAGCTTTAATTTGTGCCTAATTTGACTGACCGTCAAGCCCCATGGGCAAGTTGAGTTGAGCAAATTGCAGTTGGCAAAGCCTATGTTAGCCCTTCAAATTGGAAACTACCTAGTAGGTCAGCCCCCACTTTAGAAATTTTTTTCTTGTGGCTAAAACACACTAATAGGATATTTTATATATTAATAGCTTAATTCTAGGTCAAAGCTAGAGATTTCAGTCAAAAAATTAAAATTTGTATAGTTCCCAATCATTCATGAATCTTTATTTCTTTGTTTTATGAAAATGATTGAAGAGATGCAATGTAATCGGGCAATATAAGGTGATGTATACTTGCATATAATGTAAAAATATTTACAACATGTAAATTTTGGCTGGCAAGTGCTTGATAAATTAATAATATTAAGTTTAGCTAATTATTATATCCTTTTGGTGTAATTTTATTAAATATATCTCTTAATATTATTTAATTGTGCTTTAAAAAGTCCATACATAGACTAAATATTTTTTAAATTCTAATCCAACAACATAATCATTAAAAGTGTTTATGAGTCTATATTAGATCGAATTTAGATCGGGTTTATATTGATATTAATAATTTATATATTTATTCAGATTCGATTTGATCTGAAATTTTAGATCTTAAAATTTTTTTAAATTCGATCTAAATTAAAAAAATAAATTATAAACTTATCCATTAAATTTAATTTATATAATAAAAATAAAAAATATAATTAAATTATATTTAATTCACATATATAAAAAATTAAAACTAAAAATTATATATATAAAAATTAAAAATAAAAATAATATAAAAATAAGAATTAAGTTTAATAAAATATATATAATATATATAAATTAATTTTTATATAATTCACATATATATAAATAAATAAATTATATATATATAAATTTGAATTAAGTCGGGTTGGATTCAAGTTTTAAATTTTTTGTTCATGACTCGACCCTTAAATGAATTTAAAAATTATGTTCAAACGCGTTTAATGGATTTTTAATTTTTTATTCAAGTTATCTCAAAACTTGAATAGATCTTTGGATTTAAGCAGTGCTACTCCGACCATTGAACAAATCTAGTAATCATAATCTCATTTAAATTTTATTATCGTATTCAAATCTACTTTTAAAGAATTTATCTAAACTATTAATTTTAAATAGGATATAAAAATATAAAAACGATATATTGTAGAATTTTAATAAAAATTATATATGAATTAAAAATTAAAAAATATATTTTATATTTAATATATTAACATAAATTATAATATAATAATTTTTGTATATATTTAACACAAAATTAAGATAAACCAATTAACATAAACCCGTATATTAGTAACAATGAACTTGGTTCTTGTCCATCACTGTCATTAAACATTAATAAATAATTATTACTATTTACTCTATCTTCAAGGAATGATATTCTAAATATTAAAAATTAGTTGGAACATACTGTAATATCACGATAAAGAAAAATAACTCAAAAATTTCCTTTCCTTATTATTTTGATCCATTCCACGTTCAATGTTCACCGACTTTGATCATGGGTTTTTCCTATAACCGTGGGCTTGAGCTTTAATCACTTTTATAAATTCATTGGCGACAGATAATATTATTTATAATTATTATAATATAAATTAATCAATCATAATTAATATTATATAAAATTAATAAAAAAATTAAAATTATTTAAATTCGCACTTTTAAATAATAAATTTTTATATTATTTTTTATTTCAATTAATTAATTATAGTATTATAATAAAAAATTATATATGATTTTATTTTCGTTAACTTTGGCCGTGCTACAAACCCTAACAAATTTTCCTTGTCTACTCTTGATTTCCAATAGTAAAAGAATTTTTAGATTAGAAGAACGGAGACATGGATTTGAGTAGCTGTGTAACTTGTAATAAACTAAACCCAAAAATATTAAATTAATGATGATTAAAGTGAAAAACAAGTTGCTTTGCACTTTGCATGAGAAGATTCGATAGGGAACAGTCAAAGCTGATAGTTACTTGGAAGTGTAGAATCGGCATGCTTCCCTTCTTTTACGCTTAATCATATGTTTTTATTCTTTAATTAATTTTATATTAAATACAATAACCCAAATCCAAACCCCCGTTTCTCTTCTATGCATGTCCTTTGAAAAAAAAAAAAAAACACTTTTTCTAAAAAAATATTGTTTGAAGATAAAAAAAAAAATAGAATACTAAAAAAGCTCTTAAATTATTATTTTTTAAATAAATTGTTATATTTTTATTATATCTAAATAAGATTTTATCTATTTATTTGTATCATAAGTCCTTATTTCAAAAGAATTAATGTAATTTTTTTTCTGATTTTCTTTAATCTAGTAAAAATTGACTATTTATATAAATAAATATTTTACTTTAGGAATTTGTGGTCATGAGAAACTGATATTTTACATGTATGATATCTTATGTTAAGGGTTTATTTAGATATAAATTAAAGATTATGAACTTATTTGGATACAAATTAATAGTTAAAAACTTATTTGAGTGATGATTAAAGATTAATGGCTTATTTGGGTGCAATCAAAATATAAGAACATATTTATATAAAATGATAAAGTTTAGGAATTTTTTTATTTTAGTCTAAAAAATATAATAATTGATATTTAAAATTCAAATTTGTTGAATATTATCCTTTAAAATTAATTATATGAATTAATTGTATTAAATTTTTTAAGTATAATGAAAAGGGAAAAAAATAAATGATAAGAATTAGTTAAATTGTTAATTCAATAATAAAAGATTTTGATTTCGAGTACTGTTAACATTATCTAAAATATAAATTTTGAAAAAAAAAAAAGGATGTTTGCTAGTTAAAATAATCTAAAATATAAATTTGGTTAAAGACTCATAGATTGAAATGTGATTTTATTCAATGGAATTTTAGGGAGGCCAAAATGATATTTACGTTTGTGTTAAGTGTATTATTAATGGAAAAACTTGCACTTTTCTACAAGGTCCCAGCACTTTTCTATAAGCTCCCATCCCAATACCAGTGTGCATTAGTTAAAAAGTTAGGCGTAATTGGAGTGGACCAATGGGCTGACAAAGAGTTAAAAGATAAGATGTTGGTATTTTTCTGTGGGCCTAGGGATCCAATAGGACAGAAGTAACCCAATTGACAAGCAAGAAGAAAATGAGTTGTGAATGTGGCAGGACCAGGAGGGCTCAGCTGATAGCAGCGACAGCTTGCGTCCAATTCACGGGCCTTTCCTCTGAATTTGAACGAATTTTATTATATTTATAATTAATTAAAATGATATATTATTTATAATTATTTATTAAATTTAATAAACAAACAAAAATTAAACTTATTCTCGAACTATTCATTGAATGTTTCATTTATTTACATAAATAAACCAAATATAAATAAATAAATCGAATATAAATGAATTTTATTGTAATCATAAACTGTTCGATTAATTAACAAACATTAAATTGAAATGTTATTTACTATCATTTGTTAAATTTACTCAATAGATACAAACAAATAAAAACTTAACATATGAAAATTCAATTCTTTGCACCCGTGGCATTTAGGAAACCATTATGCATCATGTAGTGAATAGGGATTTAAAATATACCACCACACATTCAATTCCTCCAATTTCTTTGGATTTTTGGCCCATTGATTTCAAATTGGTTTTCTTTCCTTTAAAGGAACAAAAAGATGAAAAGGGTCTAAAATATTTTCAAGTGAAGAAAACAGCAACTGAGCTGAGCATGGATGGGAGATGGCTTTTGGCAAAATTCTACAATAGTATTTCAGTGGGAATTTCAGCTGCCTCTTTCATGAGGTTTTTGAGTTTTTTTCTAGAACGATTTCAGATTTCCAGCATAGGTATTGCCATATCTTCTAAGCCCAGAAAGCATGGTTACAGTTAACAACTGGATTCAGTCAGATCATGTTAATGGTCATGCTGACAAGTTAATATTCCACTCCGAACAATATGGCTGGATCTGCAGCAACTTTCAAGAAATCAAATGACCATCGAGCAAAGCAAAGCTTCTCCATGTTGAATGCATAATTTGGCAAGTGGAAGAAGAAGTAGAAGGCTCAAAAACGGAACTAAAAGACAAGGCTATCCTGGCTTTGCATGATAACAAATATCATTCTAACAAAAATGTCATCTAAATCAGGTCTGAATGTCTGCCGTACTTACAAAATCTTTTAAATAAAAAACACAAAGTCCTATCTGATTATATTTATAATCAGGTTCCATCCTGAACATTTACCAAAACTGTGAGCTTTTCAAAATCTTTCAAGTAAAAAACACAGTCGTCACAACATCAAAACTATTGCATTCTTCCGATGAGACTCAAGATTCATTTCTCAAAGTCCGTAATTGCTGTTCCCCCAACTGGTGCAAGAAAATTACCAGAAGTCATCAGGTTGCATCCTCAACATTTACCAAAACTGTGAGCTTATCAAAATCTTTCAAGTAAAAAACACAGTTGTCACAACATCAATACTTTTGCATTCTTCCAATGAGACTCAAGATTCATTTATCAAAGTCCGTAATTGCTGTCGGAATGAGGAAATGTTTTCTGCTTTGACAGCCATGACAATTCCTGTTAACTGGTAATTTTTTAGCTGCAAAAATTGACAGTCAGAAGATAATTATGGTATTGGCCAAAAAAGGAAGATAATTATAGCCATTAGTTTGAAGAAGATAGATAAAGGACAGTATAATATGAACTACCTAAAAAGACCGTCAATTTTAGTACAATAATAAAAAGATAAAGGAAACCAGAAAGGATAACTATATTATTGTTCTCTTCATTTAAAGTTTAACAGTATAACCCCCTTATTACTAGAGGAGAGTACCTGGAAGAGATTCAAGGCTCACTTTTGAAATCTTAAAAAGTGGGGTGGTGTCGCGGGGGGGGGGGTTGGTTAAAATCTCAAAAACCACAAGTAAATACTCGAAAGGATTTTACCCATGAAATATTTTTTGAGTTGAACTAGAATGGATCAATGATAGTAAGTTTGAAATTGAGTCCTACTAACCTCATGAGTGGTGACCTGCTGAATTTGCAAAGGAAAAAGGAAGGACCATATGCTCAGCTGAAAAATGTTTTAAAAGGAGATAATTAAAACATAAAACAAAAACAAGCCAACAGTCGTCACACAAAAAAATTGCACATTACATGCATCAAAGAATCAAAACCTTGCGAAAAATTTCATCTTCTGGCTTAATATATATTATTGCCTCATCTTTGTCTGCGCTTGAAGACCTTTTCTGATTTGCATTCTTGTGCTGTAGATTTGCATCCAAAGTCAGGGAAAAAATCATAGGAATACTGATATGAAAGGTACAATCAACAAAAGGAGGATCTCATACCTCGTAAATTTTGCTTACTAGTATGTAAAACTTGAAGTGGAAAGAATTACGCAACTCCTCTGTGGGCTTCAAAAAGTGAAATAAGAACATATAAGTTTAAAAATGATAGGTACTTTTAGTAGCTAAAGAAGATAGTATTTCTATTAAGTACATCCATCTTATTAAACACCTATCATACTGAACATCTAACCTCATCTTCTGTAGCCCACGAGACTTCATCAAACAGTGCATCATAAAGATGTGGCAAGAGTTCAGGAGGAAGATTCACAACACGTTGGGAAACCAGGAGACCCACATTCAATGATTTATCTCCCAAAAGTGCTCTCAAGTTTCCTATTTTATCTTTGTCCTGGCATACGTTAAGAAGGAACTCCTTGAGCTCTGTAATACACTTGTGATCCTAGTGGGAACAACATTCACAACATTTTAGCCACTGCATTTGATAAATAAGAATTTCACATGTTCACACAAGAAGTGGCACCTCAGACACAACTTACCAAAACCACCCATGGTTCAAGAAGATTTAAAAGGTATCGATGAAGCCACTAACCAGAGATAAAACTTGACCGCATGACCAAGTTAGCTTCAGGTTTGAGGGACTTTAAACAAATAAATCATTCTATTACAAGAAAGATTCATATGAAAAGTTTGTTTACTAGCTAACCTATTACATTGTACAGTATTTGTCATCTAACTTGGCCTATTATTCAATCTGTGGGACTTGAATTCAGATTTTATAAAATCAGGTACAGGGACCATTGAATTAATTAATCTATTCCAAGTATGATAAAATCGGAATGCGCCGTTTATCAGATCAACAAGGATTGCTTTTTATTCAATCAATTTCATGTTAGGGTCAGTCCATTAATCCAACCTATAGGATACAGAATGGTTCAATAGAGTCCAGACCAGTTAATTGCACTTCATATGTTAATTAAAAGCTGAAAGCCTGCATCCTAAAATTTTTTGGCTTAATCTACCAAAACCAAGATAGCTACTTCAATCATGTAGGAAAAGAGACATTGACATCAAAAGAATAACTTTCTTACCTTATATCTCCCCAAGTTAAGGGCAGTAATTACAGAAAAAACTCCATTGTCTTCGTCGCCCTCTAATTTAACAACAGTTCCAACAGTGGTTTGTCCCAATATCAAGTCTATGAAACCACTCAAATCCCATTGCTTGTTATCAAGGTAGGTTTGCAGCAAGGTTTTCACCCCATGGAAGTCATCAGGTTTTGGATCAAAGAAGGCAAAATCTGCTTGGACAACTCCCTTCAAGGAAAAAGGAAAAGAAAAAGAGCCAAATTAACTCAAACCTTCTTTATATATACATTTCACCATATACTCAATGTTACCATAATTAAGTACATACATCGAATGCTTCATCCTCAGACGACTCGGATTGTCTGTCTACCTTTTTTAACTTTTCATTTAATTCAACACCTACAATTCAGGTCAGAAAGCAATAAGAATGTAAATTCCAAAATGCCAAGAGAAGTCAAGCAGATAATAACAATGGAAAAGAACCCAAAGCTTAGCTCAGTTAGTCCATGTAACTACAGTTGACATTCAACTGGAGTTCAAATCACAGACCCTGCTACCCTTCCCTTATTCAAGACTGCGGCCACTTTTGTTAAAAAAAATAATAATAATAACAATAGAAAAAAGAATGTGTTATCTCTTTAAATATGATAGGAAGAATCAATTCAACTAAAAAACCTGCTGATTGCTGTGTGGCATCGCGTATGTGATGATTGAGCAGGTAAGCAGTGGCAACTCGAGCAACAGAACGAGCAAATGGTGAGAAAGTCAAAGGCTGAACTGGTAACAATCTACGATGCCTGGTTGGTTTCCGCGGCATCTTGTTGAATCTGCCCTAACATTGGCAACTGATCAAGGGTTATTAAGGCTTTGCAACAAGTTGCAGGGTCAACTGTCCCAACTCCTAATCTAGTAAAATCGTTTATGCTTTCAGCATTGAAATAAAAGTTCGAGTTGAGAGAATAACATAAATTCAAATATATCAAAATCAAAAGATGAAAAAATTCGAAAAGTCCATAATAAAATCAAAACAAAGAAAGAAAAGTGAAAAAGGGTTAGTATTTATATATACACACATACCTTTGGTAAATGTGGGCAAAGCTTGCTTTTTCAGAGCAGTTTTGAAGGGAAAAAATGGACTGTAGCTTGTTTCGTCGTCGTTGTATTTTTGTTGATGCGGCGCCGTTAATAAAAGCTAGAAATTGGGGAGACAGAGCAGACGAACGCCACGAGCCGCGACAAGAGTGCCTGGTTTTAATTGAAGTTGAGGGTGTTTTAAAATCAAGCATTAAAATTTCCGCTTCCACCTTCCCCGTTGGGTTTTCTCTTTTGGGAAATTCTTCCATGAAAGTTTATTAAGTGAATTTTTTTTGAAGTTTTTTATTAAAATTGATTAAATAAAATTAAAAATTAAAATCGATAAATGATTTTTATTACATAGATTTAATGTGTTAATTTTTTAAAATTTTTAATATACATTTTAATAAAAAAATTTTTTAATATTTTTATTATTAAATAAATACGATCAAATTTAATTATAAATAATATTTTCAATGAATATTTTTATATATTATTAATTTTTTCAATACACTCTATTGATTTATATATTTAAATTTTTTATTAAATTATTTTTAATAAAAGATTTCACAAACTTTATTTACACAATTTCATTAAATTATTATTTTTTATTATTTCTCTCATTTCAATTCTTATAAAAAATCGCTAAATTGCCCATGATGAGCCAAATAAAAGCGCTAAAATACCTTCAAAATCCATACCCAACCTGAGTTAAAACTAAACACTTATGAAAATGATAAGTTAAAATTTTAATAAAAATAATCTATATATTAAATAAAAATAAAATATATATTTCATTTTTTTAACATCTATATAAATTACAATAAATATTTTATATAAAATATAAAATAAATATATAAATTATCATATCTAGATATGACAATCGCTTGCTCTGTCTCTTCAATTCTTTTTTTTTTTTTTAACGAGCCGCACCAACAAAAGGTAAGCTACAATCTTTTTAAAAATTTTGATAAAATACATCATTAGTCACTCCATTATAGTGGTGTATAATGTTTTTAATTTGATCATTTAATTATTAAATTTTTTTAATTTAATCACTGAATTTTAAGAAAGTTTTTATCTTTTAATTGTTAGTCTTGACGAGGTATTAACATGATATTATCACATCAGCTGATAAGTAATATGTGATATTGTCATATTATTTGATATGATATGTGATATTATTGATGTGATATTATAAATTTTGAAAATAAATAAATTTTGCTAATAGAATAATGTCATATGGCACCTTACATCCAATATTTCATTGTCATGTCAATATATGACCGTCGATTGAATAATCAAAAAGATACTTACTAAAATTTAATAATTAGATTAAAAATTTTAATAATTTAGTAACTATTTTAAATATATTGCCATAATTGAGTAACCCATAGTATAATTTATCTTAAAATTTTTAAAATGTAAATGTTAATTTCAATGAGAGGTTAAATATGACACTTTACATTTAACGTATCATTGTCATATCAATATTCGACTGATAATTCAATAACCAAAAAAATATTTACTCAAATTTTAACAATTAAATTAAAAATTTTAATAGTTTAATAACTATTTAAAGAGATACTACAATAATTGAGTGACTAATAGCATAATTTATCTTAAATTTTTATAATGTAAATGTAAATGTTAATGTCAATGAGTTGGTAAATTATAATAATCTAAATATTCTTAAAATCAATTTTTTTCTAATAAGAAGATAATAGAAATCCAATTCGAAAGCAGATTTTTCAGAAGAGGAAATTCCAAAACGATGTAGGATTTAAGCTTCTTTTAAAAATCTTGTACGAATAATATTAGGATTTAACTCCCTATATAAATACTTATACGAACACAACCCTCAAAACAATATTTCCATCTTTCATTATTATATTCCTTCTTTCACTGCATTGCCTGTGGTGACTAATATTGTTTTGTTCCCATCTTTCAAATAAGTAGCGATCATTCATGGCTGATAATGCTCCCAACCCGTTTGCTCTTTTGGGTGGAGTAGATGGCGACGACCTGTCAAAGGACAAGACAATGAGTGATCATGACAACCAGATTGCCCTTTTTGAAGAAGAAGCTGAAAGAACTAAAAACAAGGATACCTCGAAACTGATTCAGAATAAGTTTGAGAAGAAACATAAGAAGTTGAAGAAGGAAAAACTTGAAAGGGATATCATTGATGAGCTTGAGAATTACCAGAAGAGATCAGTTAGCAATCCAAAAGCTAAAGCAGGAGTTGGAGAACAAAAGCAGCGTGGCCATGGCGGTCGTCGAAAACGTAACTTTTGGACTAACAATATAAATGTCTGCCTGCTAATAGTGGTGCTATCAGTTATAATCATGTTGGACAATCTTTTCAGTCTCATATTCGAGTATTTCTGCTCTATGTAATTTTTTTTTCTTCTTGGTCTCGACGGTGGATCATAATGGTATTTGAAAAACCCTTACTTTTCTTAATTATATATTTATATTAAATAAATATGAATTGAATCCTCAAATTAAAATTATTCTATGTTAATTAATCAATTAATTTTTGTGTGTATCTTAAATTTATGCATTGTATTTTATGAGTTAAAATTTCATTTTTAGTTGCATTTTTTTAATTTTTTCAATAAAACTCCAAATTTACAACTAAATATTATAAATTCGTATTGCTTTTTCTTGTACATCTATTACTACTCTTCTTATATATTTAAATTTCCTTCTATATCTTTGTGATAGTTTTCAATACGTCTTACTTAATCAATTAGGTTCCATACTTGCTAGACATTTGCACAAAGCTATAAAATTGATGTTTAGCTTTGTTTTTTGATAAAATTTATAATTTTTTATAAATAAAGTTAAATTAATAAATAGATTTATAAATTGATAAAATTTATAATTTTATGAGATTTTAAGTTTAATTAATATATTATTTGCATATATTTTTATATTAGTAAATAAAACAAAATACTTTAAATTAAAAATAATATATAATTTGAATTGATCCTCTCAAAATAAAATGTTAAAATCTGTTACTGATGGTCCCCTTTATTAATGGCCGATCCAAAAGGGGAATTAAAAGTGTCCATGAACATCTAAAAGAGTGAAAAACAAGAAAATTTGAAGAAAAATTTTCTCTGACACTCCCAAAATTTTCTTTGACAAACTTTTATTGATAAAATTGTTGTAATTTTATGTATATTATAAAGGTATACCCTCAGAAAAAAAAGTTATGGATCTGCCACAACCTTCTATTAGTTAATTAATGTTTTTTTGTTCATGTTTTACACTGTGTTAGATGAAAGGATTACAAATATACCCTATTATTATTTTGGGGTTGAAGAAAAACTAGATGACATTTATTAATTTAGGTGGTTAATGACATGTGTCCTTAATTGTAAGACTTTGATTGGGTTCAATTAAATGAGTTATAAGACACTAATTGCAAGGGGTTTGCCAATAATTTGGTTTATGAAATACTATCCTAATGTTTTTATTTTTATTTTTAAATTATATGAATTTTTGATTATTCATGAAACTTATTATATTTTTGGTACATGAGATTACTAGGATTTGAATCATGTTACTTGAGATAAAGAGTAGCCACTTACCAACAAGCCACACAGGCTGTTAGTTAATTATCCATGAATTTAACTATTCATGAACTTAACCAATTATGAATTTATAGATATTCATTGAACTAAATTAATTGTAAATGAATGATTTCTTGTTTAGTATAATTTAAATTAATAGTTTGATCAATCGAATTCATATATACTATTGAGTGCTATAAATAATTATGAATCAAAACTCATTGTATGAATCTCGTTAATTCATTAACTGTATTCATGGAATCAAGGGCAACTCACTAATTGGAGGAACCATAGCCCCCCAAGATTTTGAAAATATTATGTATTATTTTTTCAATAATTTTGATTTTTTTATAAAAAATTATTTAAGGCCTCTCAAATCTAAATTATTTGTGTTCATATATCATTCTTAATTTAGTCAATATATCTATTGAATATATAATAATAATAATAATTGTTTTGTATCTAAACCTTATAATTAACTTCAGTTTATATATTGTAAATGAATTTTAATTTGAAATGAATAAGTTTGTCACGCTATATTTTCACAAACATCTAGATTTAAGTTCAATATATATATACATGAGTATTATAGATATCCTATATTATTCGAAGATTTTTTGAAATTTATTATATTTCAAATTTTAATTTTGACTATACAATTGGGGCTTAATTGAAAAAGTAAATTTTGAGCCCAAAGATTAAGCCCTAAATTTTATTTGTATTTTAGTTTTTTTAGTTTAATTTTTATTTTTTTAGTTAAAAGAGTCAATGTCAATTGGTAAAAATAAAAAAACAAAAAAAAGGTAAAAAAATAAAAAAAAATGTGAGATTTTGCATGAAAAATCTTGTATTCAATTCAACTCTTAAATTCTACCTCAGAATTTAATTTTAATTGTTGAATAATTTTAGAAAGATTTGAGGCTCAATCTATTGAAAAATGAAAGATTACATAAAGAATAAAATTTATAGAGAAATCTTAGATTCGGTTAAGTTAATTTCTTTCAAATTAAAAAGGATTCAATCCTTATATAAAAACCTTGAATCTGTGATCAAAGGGGAGGCTGACATTAATTGGTTTCAAGATCAAATAGAGGTCATTGAAAGGAAAAAAATTTTGGATAAAGTTTTGAATAAACAAAAAAGAAGCAATCAAATAGAAAAATTGGCAAGAAGATCCAATTGGAGTTTTTGGAATGAAGGCTAAGGTTTATAGTAGAAAACATTAGTTTTTGAAAAGTGAAAATTTGTTAGAACCCATTAAGGTAATGTTTGCTTTCATTTTTTTTTTGTGACTTTTGCATAACTTTTATAACTTGAATACTCATGATGTGAGAAAATTATTCTTAAATTATTACTAACATATTGGAGTAATTTAAGAAAATTTTTTAATATTAAGTTATTTGGTAAATTTTAAATATGTTTTAAGGCTTGGATAACTTGAAATCAGACTGGTGCTATATTTTGGATGGGTACTGTAAGGGTGCTATAATCTTTCTCATGCATAACCGTACTCTTAAACCTAAATTTTAATTTCGTAGACTAAAATTTACTATTTAAATATATCTAAATTAATCTTGAGACTCCTCTTTAAATGGAACAGATTCTGTCAGGTAATCAATTACATTTTAATTAAAAAAGTTGGTGGTAACTTCTTTAGTCTATATCTAGCGGTAAGTGTACGGATTTATATGTTATGATATATGCTAAAATTGAATACGTAATTATAAAGCAATAAAAAAAGCATTTTTATAATTATGGTAAGATGATATTATAGTAATTTTTTTAAATTATTATATGAGGAGAATTTTCATAATTATAAAAAGAAGGCATTATAGTAATTTTGTAAATGATGATAAGATGACATTTTTATAATTATGGTTGTAGAGGCATTATATTAACTTTGGCTAATTATGTAAGAGACGTGTTTTAGTAAATAAATTAAAAGGGGTATTATAGTAATTTTAGTTAATCATAAAAAAAGGGCATTACAGTCAATTTGGATGCATGTAATTCAATTGTTAAGTAATTAAAATGGCATTATGATTACTTTTAAGGAGATTAATTTCATATTATTATATGGATGTTAAAATTTAATGAGTAATTACGAAGTAATCAAAAGAAAATTTTCATAATTATACTTAGAAAATATTATAATAATTTTGACAAATTATAATAAGAAGGGTATCTTCATTATTATGGTAGGCCAGGCATTATATAAAGCAATCAAAAATGCATTTTTTTTATTTATGGTTATAGAGTATTATAGCAATTTTAGAGAATTATAATATGAGTGATATTTTCGTAATTATTAATTTTTAAAAAAATGTTATCTTATATATTTATGTAATTTTTTTATAAGTATATTAATAGATATTTTAATAGAAACATATTAATTTTAATTAATTTAAAATAACAATTTATATTATTTAATAAAAAAATTATTTACTAAATATATAAATATATATGTAGAGTATAGATACATGTATAAAAAGAGTACTATATTATTCATTTTCATTTTTATATGCGATAAAAAAATTAAAACTATATTCATCCTTCTCATTCAGGTAAAAAATCAAATTCTCTATTATACAAAATTGACATCACTAAACATATTTGCTGTTAAAAGCTTACTTCTGGCTGAAACCAATTGTCAGCTTGATCGAATTGGATTGTGATTACTTTGGAAGATAAAGAGGAATTGGCACTTCAATTTATTGCTGAAGAGAATTACTAAATTGACAAAACACAGTTTGAGAGCGATGGGATTAGGACTTTTCTTTAAGGAAATTTCTTAGAATTTGGAATCCAAGGTATCACTCAAATAAAACTTCCATTGATCCCAATCTAAAAAAGTTTCAGTGACAATGACATTGGTGGATGATTTTTTTTTATAAAATTAATCGTTTGAGATAAAAAAAAATTATAAATTTTAAATTTTTAAAATATTAATTTTTAAAAACAATAACATAAATTTAATTAAATTCCGCATTCATATATTTTCTTTGTTCAGATGACAGTTCCAATTAAAACTTAAAACTCAAAAAAAAAAAAAAAAAAGAAAGAAGTTGCTTGACATGTTCTTTTAAACCTACTTTTAGATCAAATAGGAGAAAATAAAACGCTAGAAAGAAAGTGATCATCATTCATCACACGCTCTTAACCCTAACGATAAAAATTTTGCAGTGCATGCATCCTAAATTCTAATAATTGGACTTTTTTTTTTTTTTTTTACATTAGGGGATGGAGGGATTCATTCTTTTAACGAAAAAATATGTATCTATTATTAAATTAAATGTTTTGATGCAATTTATTTTAAATTAAATGGGAAAAATATTAAAATAATGATAAAATAAATTTCACAATTATCAAATTGGAGTATCTAGTTCTATTGCTATTGATGTTAGATCAAATGCCTTTACACAGAAAAATATTAGAATAAATTTCACAAAAATTTACTGAATGTTGGACTTTATACCAAAAAATAATAAATTAGTAATACAACAAATGATATGTAAATAACCAAAAAAATAATAATAATGTATATGTGAATTCAAGGATTTGATTCAATGATATTGCTTGTCATGCATATTTCAAGAATAAAGTTTAGCAATTTAATTAAGATATATATAAACATATAAAATTAATTAGAATAACATCATTGAAGGGTCTAGGTTTGTAACTTTGGAAAGAAATAAATTGTCACATGTTATGATGTTAATAATCCTATGTATCTATAGCACATAAAGAGATAACATTTTTGAGGCAGCCAAAAATTTCAATTTTTTTTAGGTATAAAGAAGGTGTAGGCTGAAAATAAAATATATATATATAATCTATTAAATGTCATATTTTTAAAAATAATTATATAAATTAATTAAATTAAATTTTAAATTTCAAAAGTTAAAATTTGATTCTACCAAATTGTATAAAAGACAATAACTAAATTCAGGGGAAAAGACAGTAATATGAGGAAATCCTTCACTTGTATTGGACCAAATTGAAAACAACCTATCTAATAAAATTTACTTTATTCAAAGTTTTTTATTAATATTTTTTAGATTTTAAACTTTTAATAAATGACTTGCATTTGAAAATAAAATACAGTTAAAAATGAAAATTTTTTATCACTTAAGGCAAATTATGACATTAGCTAAGGGATACAGGGTACATAGTTTAGAGAATTCTCAATATTAGCACCATGGAGAATTCTCAAGAAATACCTCAGCTCTGTTTATAAGTAATCATTCTGTTATTCTTAATATACTGCGTGGGTTATAGCCATTAATCATGGCGCTTCGTCTGGATAGCCCAAGTTGAATTTCCCTTGTTGATATCATCAACATAATGACGAGAACAGGCAATACCACCTCCTGCATGAGTACGACATGGAGGTGGTTTTGCTCCGATTAGATTTATCTGAATCACTTCATTTACCTTTTTTCCTACAATAACCTCAAAAAAATTAAAAAAAAAAAAACAATAGTGTGTTTTTGGTTGAAGTTTGAGGGAGTAGTGAAAGTGAGAGTAGCAGGACAAGTATAGAAAGAACAGGGGACCACTTAAGAATCTGATTTCTGGCTGAAGTCGATGGCAGCTTGATCGGGTTGGATTTGTGGAGGAGAAAGAGGAGCTGTAGTAGTCCATTTAAAAGGATAATGTTCTGAATAGTACCTATATTTTTTGTATTTTTTAAAAATATCTAATTTGATGCTTGTACTCTCAGTGTAATAATATAACACATAAGTTAATATTTGTTAACTAAAGACGAAACGATTGATCAATTGCATGATGACACGCGATATTTTTGTTATGTCACCGTGTCAGAAAAATAATTTATAACTTGTACGTGGTAGTGACAGTTGTCTACGTTGTTGATTTATGTCATATGAAATAAAAATATAATTTTATTTTTGAATAAAATAATAATAAATTTTAAAAAAAAACCTTTTTTCTTACTTTTCTTATTTCTTTTTTAAACATATTTTTATAAATTCTTTATTTTAAAAATAAAAATAACAAACTTATTCTTTTTCTCTTTCTTTTCCCTCTTTTCGATTCTCTCGTTCTCCTAAGTTAAATTTTATGTGAGACAAAAATTAAATATGATAATTTTAAATATAATACGATTATATATTATGAATTTTACATAAAAAATAGTATATAAATTTAGTGTAATTATATTTTATATTTTAATCATAATAATACAGTTAAAATATAATATTATTCATATCGTATTCATATTAAATAGTAATGACACATTTAAGATTTGGTATTATTTATAATATTAAAAAATTTTAATTATTTTAATTTATTTAAAAAATAAATTAATAATCATATTTATCGTATCATTTTGATGATTAAATAGATTATAAATTTTAATTTTTAAATAAATTTGTATTTAAATACTAATTTAAATGATTTTTTTATTTAAATAAATGAATTAATCATGTCAATTATATTATTTTTATATAATCATATTAATCATATTGTGTTATATTATTTTGATATAAATTAATTTTAAATATATTAATTATATCATATCATGTGTAACACGTATAATAAATTTATTGTATTCGTGTTATTTAAGTAATTATGTTAGGTTAATGTCAATGTTATTCTGTTTAAAATCATATTTGATATGATATACAATATGATGATGTAAATTATCAAGTTTAACAAAAATTAAGTAGAAGAAATGGAGAATTAAAAGAAAGATATAAAAAGAATAAGAGAGAAAAGAAAAAAAAGATTTTTTTATTTTTTTAAAAATAAAAATTGTATTTAAAAAAAGAAAAAGAAAAAAATGTTTTTTTAATTTATTGTTATTTTATTTTTTAAAATAGAATTATATTTTTTATTAAAAATTTATGGGACAATTACATGTACAACTATATTATGTGGCCTCCACATAATGCATATAAATTCTTATATATTGTTGAGCTGGCATGATGACATGCAAAAGTTATCACGTGTCAATTTTCAGTTCGTCAAAACCAGGTCATCGCTTTTAATAAACGTGTTAATCTCTTACATTATCACTGGATTTGATAATATAAGTATTATATTGAATATTTTTAAAATATAAATGTCACATTGAATATATATATATATATATATATATTTATATATCGCATAGACGCTATATTGTTTCCGTACAGACAGATAAGTACATTTGGGTGAATGTTCCATCATAACGAGCCTCCTCCACTCGTTTGTTCATTCAAGTCTTTTCAAATTTGCAGACTGAACCAAGACGAAATTTTTAGCTGGACTCAATACCTAAAAATATTATTTTTATTTTAAATTTAAAATATTTTTAAAAACATTAAAATTAATATAAAAAATATATTTTACATTTTAATTATAAATTTAAATTAAATAAACTTAAAGCGACAGAGCAAAGTAAATGTTAATCCAACTCGATCTATAAATATCTTTACTTATAATGGATATAAATAATTATCATATATTATATAAAAAAGATAAACATGTTGTGTATCAGCAGGCAACTAAAAGTTTTCGATTTTGATTCTCTCAAATTGGATGAAAGACAATAACTAACTTAATGCAGGAAAAAGAAAAAACAGTAACTGAGGAAACCCTTCACACGGAATTGTAACAAACTGAAACAGAACCTATCTAGAACAGCATGAGTTCTTGGTCTGAGTTTGCTTTAAGCCATCACCATTCACAAGGCTTACCCTATTGACAGTTAACTCAGCTTTATATGAATCAGAATTCAACACTTTCCTGCTCACATTGTTGTAGATTTCTCGGATGACCATCTCAAACGCGGTCCTAACGTTGGTAGAATCGAGTGCAGATGTTTCGAGGAAGAATAAACCTTCTGCTTCTGCTAAGCTTTTGCCTTCTTCCAATGTCACTTCCCTGACGTTTTCCAAATCACATTTGTTTCCCACAAGCATCCTTGCCACTGTTGTATCAGAATGTGCTGAAATTTTGTTCCATGATAATCAAATTTGAGGATATTGAAACCAGTATGAAATCAATATTTGCTCACACATAATCCAAAAGAAGCACAAAAAAGGGTCAAACATAACACAGAGCATATTTGTCACTAGTCATTCAATTTGCTCTACCAATTTACATTTCTCCTAATGATCATAACTTGACTAAACCTATGCATGCATGTTATAGTCATGGAAAATTATCCTATACATAATCGGTGGATGTTTAAAAACCAAAAATAGGAATAGAAGTTTAACACATATGATGGATGGATTAATGGTTATATTTACAAAAATCAATAAGCTAATAATGAATATAGGACAATCATCTAACTCTGTTTGTATAGTTTAACAACTTCCCAGCCTATGTATAAAATAATAAGTTCTTGTCTTACAGGATCTTGATTTTGGACGAAGTTTCTTTTAAGAAAGTTTAGGTGAGGAAAGGCTACTTCATTTCAGGATCTGCTCATACCAGAGACCTCAGATGAACTTAACAGGGAAGTACTGCTAACAGCGAAAATCGAACTTAAATCTTAAAAGCCAAGTAATGGATCCTTAAGAACTCAACCAATTCCCTTGGCCTTGGACTCAAGTTTTTAACACATTTTCTTTCACTAAAAATAGTTGTGTCTTTCTCTCATTAATCTGAATATATTCAAAGATCAAAGCGTACCATTTACATATTCCCTAATTAGTTACTCCCCACCAATATCTCCTCCCCCATACTTGGAAATCCTGGTAAGGTCAATAGCAAAGCTCTTTAGAGTATGGATTGCCCACCCCTTTCCTGCTTGTTCACCAGGACTCCTTCCACATTTGTATTGTGATATCATGCATCAGTCAATTCTACATCATGTTATAAGAGTAATCTCCTAATGTAATCTTCAATCTTCAAGGTTAAAGGAACCTTGATTTAATCTAAAACTGAATTTTATGCAAAAAAAAAAAAAACCCAGATTTTAGTTTCAAGAATTCAAAATCCCAGCCAATTTACTCTGAATTCCACCAAAGCAGCCAATGCATTTACAACCACAAAAGCAAGAAAAATAAAAAACAATCTGACAAACCCAAAAACCAGAACGAGAAGAAGTACTTACAATTGAGTTCATCAAGCCATCGAGCAACATTATCAAAAGTAGCTCTCCTGCTAATATCATAAACCAACAAAGCACCGAAAGCACCCCTGTAATAAGCAGAAGTCACAGCACGGAAACGTTCTTGGCCAGCAGTGTCCCAAATCTGAGCCTTGATTTCCTTCCCGTCAATTTCCACGCTCTGGGTCTGAAACTCCACCCCAATGGTTGCCTTTGAGTGAGCATTGAACTCGTTTCGTGCGTATCGAGAGAGGAGGTTGGATTTTCCAACGGCTGAATCTCCTATTATCACTATTTTGAACAAGTACTCTTCCACTCCTTCATCATCCGACATTTTTCTTCTTTTCTAGATTTGGGGTTTCGCTCTCAGATTTTTCGTGATGTGAAAATGAATTAATAGAAAATTTAGAGGTTAAAAAACAGGGGAAGAAGAATTGAAGAAATTGCAGAGACTAGCGGTGGACCACGTTGAGTAATGCGACTTAATTGCTAAGCCCACGCGCATATTGTATTTTCAATACCACTTTTACCATTTTATTTAGAATGATAAATCAAATTTATCGTGAAGGAATATAAATTTGCTGTTAAACTTTTTAATTTAGTTAAAAATTAGTAAAAAATTAATGGTAAAAAAATTTACACAATGGTTTTAATTTTTATTATTTTTTAATCAAATTAAAAATATAAAAGTTACAAGAATATTTCATATAATATTTTATTTTTTATTTTTACCAAATTAAAAAAATATAATGATAAAATTGAATCATATACAGATGAGTGATAAACTTTGGATTTTATCACTTTACCCTTTTCACTTTTATTATCGCATCACGTGTAGAGATAATTTTTATATATTTATTTATTGACATAATTTTTCACATTTTGATAATATTTTATGTATTATTTAATATTCATAAATAATTTTTATGAGTGTTTAAATATACATATTTATAAAACTATACATGATAGAAAATACAATAATCAATTTACAATAGCTCAATTGAAACAAAATTTCTTTTTTAAATAAATCAAGTTGCTAAAAGAGAAGAAAAGAGCTTTAAACATATTCAAATAAACACACCTAAAAATCTATTACATCAAAAAATTTCCTCCAAAAATTGATTTTATTGTCATTAAAAAATATATTAAATTAAAAAATTAGCATATAAGATTTTGAATTTAAAGCTTTCTAATTAAAAGGCTTTGTGAAATAGATATTAACAATGAATTTCTAACTTGATTAGCATTGGTGAGAAGTGTATTCAACCTATCGAAATCACTTCATATACCATAGATATATGTTGACAATGTCAAGGAAGGATAAAACTAAAATAATGGCTTATCTATCCTAATTATATCTTTATCAACTATATCATATTTTGGTAATATAAAATATTTTTTTGTCTAAAATCTTTTGGTGTTTGGTAATTATTTTGAGTTTCGATTAATTTGGAGTCGAGTTGAGTCAGACTCCATAAAGAGAGCAAATTTTCTTAAGTTTATTTTCTTCATTCATAAAACTCAAAACTTAAATATTATTAAAGAAAAGTCAAATTTTTTGTCACTTAGACCAACAAGCGTTTGTGATAAAAAATTTATCTGACTGTCAATAAATTTTTTTAAAATTTACCAATATAATTAGCAAACACATACCCCTATAAATTAAAGTTAGATATTGTTTTGAGTTTGATCATATATCTTTATCAATTCTAATTTCTAAGAACTTAAATTCATCTTTTATTTTAAATATGAAAAAAATTACTTCTATTAAAATGAGAAAATGTAAATATTTATACTCTATAACTATAACTTGAAATAATTTAAATTATTAAATTCAATTAATGAGATTTTAGTTTAGTAACAAAGAGAATGCTTAAAATTTTAAAGTCTCAAATTCAAATTTAATTACATGTGAATTTGATTTAATTTTATATTGAATTTATTTAATTATGTGTTGATTCATTTATTTAGTTTAATTCAATAATTTTATAGATATAATATTTAATTATTATCTTTATTGAATGGCAAGAAATATTTAGATTTCGTTAATACATTTTTTTCATATCAGCCTAAACAATTTTATTTATGTTAAATCCAACGAATTTATAAAAATTTATTTTTTATAAATTTTTAAAAAGTTTGAATTCAAAATAATAAAAAGAATAAACTTTCATATCAATTAAAAACAATGGTATTTAATTATGAATATTTGCTAAATTCTAAACCTAACAATTTATGTCATCATATTATGTAAAATATTATATTTGTATCATATTTTATATGAAAATTTTATATCATAATTTATGTAGATATAAAAATATAAAATTTAATATTTTGATTTTATTAAACTTATTTATGAATTTTTTAAAATTTTAAATTATGTTATTTTTATATATTTTAATAATATTTTTTTTTACATCGTGTCATTATATCATATTTAAATTATTAAATTTACTAAAAGCACCAGCGAGATAAAATTTAAAATATTTTCAAAAAATTGAATATGATGAGGTGGAATTACATTAATGAGCAGCTAACCAAAACAGGTAATGCGCGTGGTTTGGGAAAATGGTAACATAAGTGAAGGAGTTCGGACGCGTGACTATAAAAGCATGCACTTAAAACAGGGCAAACGCCCACATGCTACATTGCAGAAACTATAAAGAATGGTTGATGTCAAGCATGCCATTGCCGATCAACCCCTTTAATCACCACAAAAGAACTCCTAACTAGCTATGGTAATGGACGGATCAGGACAAATTTTTATTTATTTTGAATTTAATTTAATTTAATTTTATATTTATGATATTTGAATTCAATTCAATTTAATAAATTTTTTTATATTTAAATTCAATTTGATATGATATTATAAAGTTATATTTAATTCGATTCGATTTGAAATTAATAAAATATTATTTTTTAAATAAATATAATTATATAATTAAAAAATAATTATATACATAAATTCAGATTGAGATGGATTTACCTAAAACTTAACCTAATTTTATTTTACAATTATCTTACTCTAAACTCTATTTAAAAAAAAAAAAAACTTTAAAAGTTTGGATTAAGTAAAAATCCGTAAAAAGCGAACCGGTTGTCATCCTTAATCCTAACATTATAGTGCTATGCTTCAATATCATAACTAAATATTAGGATTTTTTTTAAGAGGCCATAATCTAGAAAAAGATATAGATATTACAATTTAAATTTATTAAATATTATTTTTTAAAAATAATTATATAAATTAAATGAATTAAGTTTAGGATTCTAAAAATTATATTTTTTATTGTAAAACACAAATGACATGCTAATCCAATTAATATGAGATAATTTTTTTTTTGATAATCGTATTTTAATTTTTGTGAGAAATGTTTTAAGATTACAATTTTGAATGTATTATATTTTATGTAAAAAGTGCTTTAAATTCACATAAAAAAAATTAGATCAAAATAAAATTTAAAGATATCTTTAATTATATTATTGAAAATTAAAACATAAAAGATGGATTTTGAATATTGTGAATGCAAAAAATAGATTTGGAAGAGTTTGCTCCTCTTATGGGATCTGATTCATTTGATTTTAGATTAGTGAATCTCAAAGTGATTACTGGACATCGAAAGATCTCAAATAAAAAAATATTATATTTTAATTTTTAAATTATCATATTTAACTTTTTTTAAAATTTTTTTCTTATAAAAAAGTAATGCATATAAGTTTAGAATACATTATAATCTTTATTCTAACTTATTTGATTTTTTTTTTGTAAAATTATCATGTATTCTAATCTTATTTAATTAATTACTAATTTAAAATTTGATACTTTAAACTTTATAATCAAAATTCTAAATTGCATGTTTAATTAATTACTAATTTACAATTTGATACTGTATATCTACATACATATGTACATAAATATATAGGTTGGCTAAAAAATAAAAAAAAATTCATATCTCCAACTGTATATGCACACATTTATTTTAGATTATCGTTTAGAAAATAATATGATAAATTTGATTAATTATGAGAAATTAATGCAAACTATAAAGATAAATTGAATAGTTTAATAAAACCAGACATAACGTCCACGTTGAAATTGATTAGTTAGGTACGATGCTGGTGGACATTTTTCAGATTTAACATCATATTTATGTTAGCATATATCTTTTGTTTTGTGTGAAATATGTGTTAATTATAAAAATTATTATATTATAATTTATAATTATATATTTTATATAAAATATATTTTTATTTTTATTAAATTAATATATAATTTTTCTTAAAACGTTAAATTATGCCACTTTCATTTTTTTTTCTATGATATCTAAAATTGTCGGTTCTAATTATATTTGCAATGTAATCTCTAATTTTGTTATTTATACAACAAAAAGTACTTATAAATGTACCCCAATTTTTACTTTTCACAACCTTAATTTAAAAAAAAAAATTTTTAAGTAAAATTTTTTAATTATTATTCTCACAAATTTTCAAATTCTATATTTGATAAATTTTATGATTTTTTGAAAATTTATTTCCAAAATGTTATATAACTTATAGGAAATGAATTTTCAAAAAAATTATAAAATTTTTCAAAAATTAATTTTTATTGGGGAATCAAATTTTATGAAAAATTACAAAAAAAAAATTTGTTCAAAAATTTTAAAAATTAATGTAATGAGAAAAGTTATTATTAAAAAAAATAATAAATTTTAAAATTAATAAAAAATACTTTTACTATTTTGATTTTAGAAAAATATCCTATGAGATCTTAATTAAATTAAAGATAAAATAGTAAATATAAATTTTTCATAAATTTAAATTTTATTATTTTTAATAAATATTATTTATATCAATTATTAAAATTTTATAATATTTTAAATAAATAAAATTTTTTAGAGATATCTCTTCATCTACTTATCATGATAAATTTTTTAGTTAACATATTAAATTTTGATAAAATTATAAAGTATTCAATATTATTACTTATACAATTTTAAGGAGTTTTAGTTTTTATATGTTGATAATACCTAATAATTTTTTCATTATCGCTCAAAATATCAAGAAATGAAATATTTAATTAGAGTTTTATAAGATTTTATTTTTTTAAGATTAAAATAGTAAATATAATTTTTTTATTAATTTTAAAATTTATGATTTTTTCATAATAATTTTTTTCATTATGTTAATTTATAAAAATTTTCAATAAAACTTACTTGATATGAATATTTGAGTTTGAAAAAAATATTTAAGTAATTTTACTTAAAAAAATTCAAAAAAAAGTGAAGAGTAAAGAAAAAAATTTAGCATATAGAAATCTAAACAACAAAACGGAAGTTGTCTAATCTAACCTTTGGAGAGCAAATAGTAGCGCAAACCAGGCATAATGAAAAGGGGTCCGATGCTAAAACAAACGGATTTTCGACAAGAATGGATATGTGGGCACAGATATGACACGTAGCTTTGCAAAACCTAGCCAGAGAAATCTTTCAACTTGAGCAAATACCCAACTTCTTGTCATCCAATCGTCTCTCCAACCATTCCACTACTGTTTTCACGATGCCGGTATTCACTGCAACAGTTGGCTCAGTCTGTTTCCCTTCACAGCTCTTCAACCCGGATGTCTCCTCATTTTCATGTTTCCGGAACCAGACAAAGCTGTCAAACTCTTGTTTCAAACCTTCTCTTATCAAGAAGTCTTCTTCTTCTTTTTCATTTTACTCTGTCAAAGTCTCTTCTACCTCTGCTTCTACCGATGCCAAAACTGATAATTCTGAACAAGCTGAAGCTGCTGGCGCCGCAGTTCTTGATAACTCTGTATCCTCCGATGATATTCGAGTACGGGTGTGTTTTTACTAGTACCACTTTCCCATTTTGTTTTTTATTGTTGATACTTTAGAATGTTGATTCCATTCCTGCTTTAAGAAGTCTACTTTCATTTAAATTAAGATGGGTATCCATTCATTTTTTTTCTTTGATGAGTTTGGTAGCTTAATCTTGAGGAATCAGTTTAGTTAGTAGTGAAGGAATTATCAACTTACATATTATTTTCCAAGTTCAGTGCTTTAATACATGTATATACAATCTAATACTTAGTTCCTGCAAAGAAGTAGAGGTCTGCTGATTGGAAGGCAGCCAGGGCATACTGGCATAGTGGGTTCATCTATGGTGGTAGAGTTGAAGGATTTAATAGTGGAGGTTTGCGGGTTCGCTTTTATTCTCTTGTGGGTTTTCTTCCTTTTCCACAGTTGAGTCCATCACATTGTTGTAAAGGTACTATTTTAGTTGCTGCTTCTATTTGATTTTGACATAATTTCAGTTTTAGTTTAAAAATTTTGCATATATGTTGGGGTTTTTCTTGCTATAGTATTGCTGTATTATATATAAACTGCTGTCTGCTGTTGTGTTGAACTGTTGATTATTCATATGGGGCTGATTCTGTTTCCTGTGGTCGTGTATTGGGTTCTTTTTTCATGCTTACTTCATGTTCAACAATTGGCTTACATGAATGAAGTTTAAAGCTCCTATCTTTGAACTCCTTTCAATTTGGCTGACTGTCTACAGTAGGATTGCATAATTCGTAAATTTTTTAATATCTTGGTTTTATTGAATTTTGGTTGGAATATTGTATTAATGGAAAAAAAAATCATATGTGGGGAAGTTTTAGAAAACCAATTTGTCTTTTAACTAAACCTGTACTTTCAGTGACCTTCCTGTAAGCAACAGAAGCATGTTCTATTACTTAGATCAAGGGAGAACTAGAAATAGAATGTCAGACAAATTTGTTCATTGACCTGAGGTATCAATTTGAACTGGTCATCTTGAGTAAAGCAAATGAAATTTCGAAATACCCTTCATATCTTGACATAGAGTTAAGATCGACGTTCTTCCAAATTCAAATACTTTCTCTCCCTTTTTTTCCCACTACTGTTGTTTCTGCCTTTTTAGCCTTTGTGCATTGAATTAATGCAATAGGATATCTCCTATTCATATCTCAATATTTTGTTTATATTTTCAGTGGAAATGTTTATTCTTCTGAAAAGATAAGTTTATGATAACAATGAAACCTAACCAGTGCATTTTTTATGATAAAATATCATGTAGAACCGAGCAAATCTATCCAGCAGATTGCCAAAACTTTGATTGGTTCAATTCTTTATGTGAAGGTAATGAGTTTCTTTTCTATTTTATTGTACATTGTTAATCTTCTACTTTCATCTTATAAATAATATTGGTTCTGTAATTGTTATAAACAGAATGTTTAACATCTTCCTCTTTCCCTCTTTTTTCTCTTTTTTTCTAGATAATTCTTGTCTTGAAGAGTTATATTTACTACTAAACCAGGATTGCTTCATGGTATTTTAGTAATTTAAATATCTCATCTTATTATTTTAGGTAATCCAAGCAGAAGAGGAGAGCAGGAAATTGATTTTCTCAGAAAAGGAAGCTGTCTGGACAAAGTTTTCTACAAGGATTAATGTAGGGGATATTTTTGCAGGAAGGGTGGGTTCTGTTGAGGATTATGGTGCATTTGTTCACTTACGCTTCCCTGATGGTATTACGGTCTCTGATTTGTATAGCTCTAGTTTTCCTTAGATTTGCGTATCTCACAAACCTTATTATTGGCATTCCTATAACTATTATGTAGGACTTTATCATCTCACTGGACTGGTACACGTCTCAGAGGTTTCCTGGGATTTAGTCCAAGATGTCAGAGACATCTTAATTGAGGGAGATGATATTAGGGTGAAGGTTATTAATATCGATAGGTGAGTTTTCCACGCTTCTAACATATGTTATTTCTATCATGCAAATTTTTCCAGTCATTTCAAAAATTTTATAACCAGATCAATGTGGCTTGTTTATTAAGAGGATTATATTATTTTTTTTCCTATATAAGGCAGCAAAGCTTGTGGGATCAAATTAATTAGCTTATTTGTTGCAGAATTTGTTTTTCTTTTCTCCTTGTTCTCTCGGTTCTCTGCATTTTAGCCATGTTTGTTTCTTGATTGCCGTTTTCTTTAGTGCCACTTGCACTGAATTTTTTTTTTTTTGAAATTTTATGCAGGGGTAAGTCAAGGATTACTCTATCAATTAAACAGTTGGAGGAAGACCCGTTTTTGGAAACGTTGGACAAAGTGATTCCCCAGGTTTATGATTTGAAATTGTCATAGATGATCTTTTTTACCTGAATTTTAGTTTCAATTGCTTCAGAGGAAAAAATTAATTTTGGCTAATAATGGATTTACGCTTCTTAGGATGGTTCAGCTAATTCCGATTCCTTGACCACAAGCAATATTAGTACCATTGAACCACTTCCAGGGCTCGATGCAATATTCAAAGAGCTTCTGCAGGAAGATGGGTATGCTTTCATTTCTCTATTTGGAAAGTTATTTGTGAAATGGAAGTCTACAATGTTCTTTTGCAGTTGCCCTATATTTGCATTTAACTTTTATTCTTCATCGTGATTACAGTAGTCGCTTTATTGTATCTGTTTTATCTTTTATATTTTGATATATCTTCATGCTATTTTTCTCATGTTCCATTTTAATTTCTTTCAAACTTGGATGTCTTGGTACAATCTTATTAGTGAGTCAAAATGTTAGGTTTAATTCACCATGCTGTCATGGTCTAGTTTTATGCTATTACTATCTAAACATCTTCCTTCATATCCGTTTAACATGTGATGCTACATTTGTGTGCCAATGGTTCTAAGTTCACAGAATGTCAGATCTGTACAAACGGCTGTCTGTGATGTGGACCAGAAAGCCTAAAATCTAAGCAATTACTGAAGAGCCCTAACCTTGCTCTCTAAACCTAAAGACCAAACCTTGATCCCTAATGTTGTAGTTCTGAAACTAAGAGTCCATTTTTAAAAAATCTTCATCCTGCTTTTTGTTCAAGTAACAATGAGCAGGCTGCAGCCTTTTTTCGACCCATTGGTTTCAAATCCAATCATTTAAGAAAACAACATAAAAGAAAAGGTCAATATGACCTTGAACTAAGCATTCACTTAAACCTCCTTTCTCCATAAATTTCTTCTGAGATCTTATAGAATCCAGCTTAGGTAATCTGCAGTTCATTCAATGATTGATATTTGAAATAATCTGAATTTAAAGAAACTCTCCAACCTTAACTTACATAATCCTAATCACTTCTTTTGCATTCTAGCACTAAGAATAATTGTGCCTTTAACAGTATACAAGTGAACTGACAAAAAGATAAGTGGTATCCATTTTTTTTTTTGTCTTGGCTGCGCTTGGTCCATCGACTATTCTTATTCTTTCCCTCCTTAATGTTGCTTGTGTAATTGAAAAAGAGAAATATATCAACTGTACTTGGGTAATTTATTGGAATAAGTTCATCTTTATATTTCTTTGAATATGTAATTATGGAGTTCCTAAGCTGATATCCATCCAAGTTGGTGCTTTCCCAGTTAGTATATGCTGTTAAATATTAACAAAATTTCCCACTTGAGGGACCAATGGATTAGATAATGCATATGTTGTAGCAAAATTTTATCAGAAAGTCTTATATATAGAAGCTTACTACATTAGCCTTCCTTGTATTACTGAAACTTGAAGCTAGAGTTGGTTATCGTGATCTTTGTGCATATTACATGTTAGAAAATAGTCCAAGAACATGATTATATCAAATTGCTAGATTGGTGGCCGTGAATGTTTCATTATAGAGAAGTGCGTGTGTGAAATATGACTTAAGGGCCATTGACTTGGAATGTTGATGTTTATAAATTAGAGGTGGTTGTTGCTAGGCCAGTTTTCTTGAAGAAGTTAGGTATGTTACTAGAATTGTAGCATTTGTTTTTGGGTACTTAATTATTTATGCAGATACTTATGCTGTAATGATATTCTGCTTCAGAATATATGATGTACGAATTAGTCGACAAGGGTTTGAGAAACGGGTAGTCTCGCAAGATTTGCAAATTTGGCTTTCAAATGTGAGCTTCTCTGTTCTTGATCCAACCCTGCAGAGCTCATCATTGGTATGCTATCATATATTAACATCTAATTGTTAATCTGGTTGCAGGCACCACCTTATGACGACATTTTTACCCTCCTAGCTCGTGCTGGAAGGCAGGTAACACGTCATATAATCTCTCTCTGTGTGTGTGTGTGTGTTCATTTTTCGCATTTTCATCATTTTGTGTCATTCAGGTGCAGGAGATACAACTGACAACATCCCTTGATCAAGAAGGTATCAAGAAGGCATTACAGCGAGTACTGGAACGCGTCCCATGATCCAAGTTTGACAATGCAGTGTATCATTTGTTGTTATTTATTGAGTTTCTGTACCTTTTTTTCTTATTTTCCTCGTTAATGTTTATTTTGTACAAAAAATTATGAGCGCATGCACTAAGCTTATATCGTGTTAAAAGGTTATATTATAAACATTTTCTTACTCTTAATGATCATGATCATATATAAGATGAGATTGATCAATGGCAAGTTTTCTTTTTTTTGTTGTTCTTTTGGGTTGGAACTTTGGCTTTTCTTCATCGTTGTCTTTGTCTATTTTCTTTTTACAAAGAATATGTGAGCATGGGACTTTTTATTTTATAGGTACGATGAAAAATATATTTGCAGCTGTCTTTGAAATATGAGTTACACTTTCTTTTAAGCATTTACACAGAACATGCGAGCATGAGACTTTTGACGGAATAAGATTTTCTCAATCTTGCGTTTGTTGAGTAATGAGATTTTCTTCTGTCAAAAAAAAAAAAAAACTTTTAATAGATTAGCTGTCAATTTTTTTTAAATGATGCATATAGGTTTGCAAATTGATTGTCATATAAAATATTAAAATTTATATTTTTATATTAAATTTTATATAAAAATTATGAATTATAATTCGTGTGAAAATATAAATATAAAATATATTTTTTTATTTTGGTAAATTTACATATAATTATTATTATATAATTTATGATATTTTTATATTTTTTATATCATATTTATATTACATCATAATATTATATTTTAATTTATCAATCCCTATAATTGTTGTGTTAAAACTAGTAAAATGCATTTCCCACTTTTGTTGTGTGAATGTTTTTCGATATTTGCAGCTGATTTGAAATATAATTTGTTAGCTAGTTTTATTGTTTAAGTAATAATTTGATATTGTTGACTCATTGTCTTTAGATTTATGAGAATGATATTGAAATTGAATATTCAAAGAAATTTAAACATGTAACATCTTTTTTAGATAAATATAAAAGTAGATTATAAATTAAAAAAAATAATTTAATCTTTCCACTCGTGATAAAAATGAATGCTATATAAAATATAAAGACAAAAAGACAAGTATTTGATAAAATATAGATATTCTTTTCATCCTAGAAGAACAAGTGTTACGAGGGTCAATTACATAAGTGAAATTGTAATTAAATTATTAAATATTCAATCTAAAATTATTTAATAGTAGATAAAAAACTTGACTTGAATATAAAACAAACTTAAACAATAGTGGGTAAAACACATTATAGTCAACATTTTCTTTTACATATGAGTTTAGAATTAAAAATCAAAACCAAAAACCTATCAAATAAACAAACTAATAAAAAAAATTTAAAAAATAAATCCAATCTTTGATATCCAATTAAGCATTTGAGAAATTATCAAATATATTGATAGTGAAAATTTTTTAACTCATAGAATAAGGTTAATAGAATGATACATATTTTTTAATATATATTTAAAATAAAAAATTAATTAAAAAATATGTATCATCTTGTTAATTTTGTTTATAAAATTAAAAATTTCATTAATAATATATCAAATAAAATTTTTAATTATTTAATTCAAAATCAATTAACAATAAAGACTCAAATTGAATATAAAAAAAATTCAAAACTGAACCAACATAAAATAAGATAACATAAACAATATGTAAAATGCATTAAAAAAGAAAAGAATTCGAACATTACACTATAACTAGCTAGATGATGCACCCCCACCACCATTACCAATAATTTAGTATCATCATTCCTACATCCATTGTAATTACTTTAGTTTAATATATTCTCAAGTTGCACCCAAATTCTAGACGAAAACTACGTGGTTGAAACTAGCAGAATTCTATGTTGAATTTTACTAATGATCATCTTATCCGTTCTTGAATTCCCTTTAATATTATCGTAGTTTGTGCTTGAATTGTAACATACTGTTGTTTACAAATGCCAAGTTTAGCATCTATATCATATTCTCATCTAATTTTCTTTTATTAAAGAAGTTAGTACAAATTTTCTTGCTCTCTTTTTGTCTAATATTTCGTGCTTTTTGTCTCTCTTCCTTTTTCTGTTGGTAATTCTAATCACCAAAACAGCTATATTTGAAGTGCCACTTGGCTTGCCCAACTTTTATATTTCCAGCTGTTTTCAAATATGATTTGCAAACTCTTTTTATTTTTTAACTAATAGTTTGATATTGTTGACTGACAGCAAAGTTGGATGTTTAAAAAAATTTATACATGTAATATTTTTTTAAATAAATCAAAAGATAAATATAAAGGTGGATTAGAAATTTTTTAAAAAATAATTTCATATTCTTAACACGTGATAAAAACGAATACTATATAAACTATAGAGCCAGAAAGACAAATACTATATAAAATATATATATTCTTTTCGTGTTTGAGGAACAAGTATCACGAGGGTTAATCAAAAAAGTGAAATTATAATCAAATTGTTAAGTATTTAATTTAAAATTATTTAATAATAGATGAAAAACTTGATTTGAATATAAGACAAACTTAATCAATAAGGAATAATACACATTATAGTCAACATAAAAAAATTCATCATTGAACCGACCTAAAATAACATAGCATAAATAATATGTAAAATGCATTAAAAAAAAAAGGAATTCAAACATTAGTCTATAACTGGCTAGATGATGCACTAACCACCATCATTAACAACAATTTAGTGTCATCGTTCCTACATAGATTATAATTTTTTTTTTTTATGAAATATACATCCAATGTAATTAGTTTAGATTAATATATTCAAAAATTGTATTCAAATTCATGTTACGATAATATAACACGAAAATAATACAAATAAAAATAGAAAGGTGATATAATTTAAAAATTTAACAAAAATCATAAATGAGTTTAATAAAAAAAATATTTTATAATTTTATGTTGATATAAATTATAACATATAATTTTTATATAAAACATAATAAAAATATATAAATTATCACTATTTTACCTAATATAAATGCATAAATTATATAAATTTAAATATAAAGAGAACATGGAATGGTGCAACACAAAGAATGGCCACGCCGCCATTACCAATAGTAATTCAGGTTTGGTGGTGGTGAATGTTTTAATGTTTTAATTAATTACCTAGCCGTCCACATGTTCCACATTGTTTTTACATTACTTTTCGTTTGTCTGGATTATTTACAGTCGATTTTAGTTTAAAAAGTGGGAGAAAAGAGCGCAGATGCAGAGAGAGTGAGAGAGAATATGGCTTTTCACTTTGTAGTTAAGTTGGTGATTTTATTGCTATTGCAACCGTGGCTAATTACGGAAGCAATAACACTGCCAAAAAGTCCAAAAATGGCGAAGCCTAATTGTACTGATAGATGTGGGAATGTTAACATCCCATACCCATTTGGAGTAGAAGATGGGTGTTTTTTTAATGAGTCGTTTAGAGTGACTTGCAATAAAACCATTGATGGAGGTCGGAAGCCTTTCATTAGTAGTATTAATCTCGAACTACTCAATGTTTCGTTTTCCTTTGGCACGGCTCGTGTTTTGAATCCAGTGACGAAATTCAATTGTAGCAAAACCGATAACAGCATTCCTTTCCCTATCTATCTGGAAAGTGGCAACAGCCCATTTTTCTTCTCAAATGGCTACAACAGGTTCGCGTTTCTAGGCTGTCGCAAATGGTCGACCATTGTTCATAATCAAAATACTATTGGAGGCTGCCTGTTGGCCGAATGTAGTGATAAGGCTCATGTCGATGGCTGCCATATTAGAATTCCTCCAACTATCACTTATTTTGTTGCAAATCAGACTAATCCTTGTGGTAAAGATATTGACGACAACATTGATGGATGCGGATCTGCCTTCATGATTGCCGATGACATGTTAAAACGGGACGATTCTATTCCTGATGAGATTATAAATCAGACGCATGTTCCAGCAGTGCTGCAATGGAGCATCCCAATAAACGGCATGTGCAATTGGAAAAAAGGTTCAAACAGCTTTTGTGATGGAGATGGTGATCATTGTTGGAGAAACTTAAGCTCCACTCATTTTTGTGTTTGCAGCAAGTCTAAGAAAGACGGTACACAACTTTCTGAATTCCGAGGTGTATATATGTATGTATGTATGTATAGGCTAGGCATGTGTGAATTTGCTTTACTTAATTTTTAAGCTAAATATAGCTTTATTTTCTCTTAAATCACAGGCTTTGGCAAATTTGCGGATTGGAAACATAACTTTTGTCAGATGCTTTGTTTAACCAATCCTGGAAAATTTCATTGTACTTGGCCATGTCCTGATGGATATGAAAGTTACACCAACGCAAAAGATCACTGTTATCCCAAGGATTTAGGCGAACTTTTAAGCAAAAAATCTCGGACAAAGACAATCATTATAGGTGAGGAATGAATTCACTTTCTTGCTCATATTTCTATTTATATCATATAAGAGTTTTGATAAGCTTTATGAGAGAAAACATATATCATGTTTTCATCGAAAGAGAGCAGCGTAACCTGCCTATATATGTATAACTTTTACATAAATTGTTGGCTTTAATTTTTGTAGGTTGCAGTACAGGTAGTGGCACAATAGTTCTGCTAATTGGTGCATTTTGGTGCTGGAAAGTAGCAAATAGAAGAAAAAACGTCAAGCTGAAGCAAAACAACTTCAAAAGGAATGGCGGTTTACTCCTGCAACAAAAATTATGTTCTCATGAAGGAACAGTTGAAATGATAAGATTGTTTACATCAGAGGAATTGGAGAATGCCACTGACAACTATAGTGCTCATAGAATCCTTGGCCAAGGAGGGCAAGGAACTGTTTATAAAGGAATGTTGGCAGATGGAAGCATTGTGGCTATCAAGAAACCGAAAAGGGTGGGTATTGGAAAGAAATTTGATGAAAAGAAACTTCAGGAATTCATTAATGAGATGATAATTTTATCGCAAATTAATCATAGAAATGTAGTTAAATTATTAGGGTGTTGCTTGGAGACTCAAGTTCCATTATTGGTGTATGAGTTCATCATTAATGGAACTTTGTCTCAACATATTCATGAGAAGAATGAAGAATTATTCCCAATCAGATGGGAGATGCGCCTTAGAATTGCGGTGGATGTTGCCAATGCTTTATCATATATGCATTCATCAGCTTCGGCTCCTATTTATCATCGAGACATAAAATCCAGCAACATACTTTTGGATGATAAATACAGAGCCAAAGTGTCGGATTTCGGAACATCAAGGTCGATTACATCTGAACAAACTCATCTGACCACTCAGGTACAAGGAACATTCGGATACTTAGATCCTGAGTATTTCAGGTCGAACCAATTTACAGAGAAGAGTGATGTTTATAGCTTTGGAGTTGTTCTTACTGAGCTATTAACAGGGCAAAAACCTCTAATCTCTTCAAGCCAAACAGAGGAAGTAAGATCCTTGGCAGCTTGTTTCTTGCTTTCAATGGAAGAGAACTCGTTGTTTGATATTCTTGATCAAAGTGTAATGAAAGATGGTTCACAGAAAGAGATTACAGCAGTTGCTAAGCTTGCAAAAAGATGCTTGAATCTTGATGGAAAGGAAAGACCCACAATGAAAGAAGTTGCAATGGAGCTGGAGTTGATTCGAGTGTCGAAAGAAGCTCATGCAATTCAAAAAGATGAGGACAAAGCTTCTTCTTCAACCAATTACAAGCAGTAGCATAACTTGGTCATTAGATGCACGGCCCTAGCTACTAAAAACAAAAATCTCCATAGTTTGGTGTGTCTACTATTTTTGTGGATTTCTAGCTAGTTCCTTTTATGCCTATGCATATATAATTATACCTATATTTCGATTAGTCAATTTCATAAGAATGTACATCTCTTTCAAATCCATTTTTTCTTTTACCAAGATCATTCCTAAGACTTAATTATCATCACTCGCAATGATACCGTAGTTTTTATCCCTACTATTGTTTGGAGGCAATCAAATTTCAATATTTGTTCTTTTGATTTATTCCAAATATTTTGTTTATAAATTTAAAACTCGTTAAACATGTTAAAAGATTTATCAAGAAGAACCAACAATATTAGTGGGATTTTTCTTGGCTCTTACGTAATAGCATAATTTGGATGAAATACAGCAATCTTGTTTCTATTCTCTACCCACAGAAAAAATGTAATTCAATTTCTTTTTTTTTTTGTTCATTTTTCTTGTTCTAGATTGAGATGAGATAAATTGTGTTGCAAGCCAAACCTAGACGAGTAAAACGCAGCGCAAAACGCGGCTTGGAACAAATCGCTGGGTTTTAAACCTCTGCTGGGAGAAGGGAGAAAGAAAACAGTGGGCTAGAAAAGGCAAAGGAACATATTTACTCACAGAATACCAAATAATCTTTAAGAACAAAAGACATTAGAAAGTAGGTTCAAATTTCAAATGTCGGCAAATACGTAGAAATTTTGCTTTTCTTGACAAAGAAAAAGTATAAAGGAAGTGGATTCAGAAGTAAATTTGTTTCCATACCCAAATTAATTTTCATTTTTACAATGCATGACCTATTGAAAAAAAAAAAGAAGATCTCGTTTATAGAAGCTTCAAAGTTTGAAATAGAAAAGTTCAATCAATATTTGAAGCCGAAGACATTTAACAATTGCTCAAGACAGAAGTTTCCCAATCTAGTGGTCCTTTTCATCCTCGCATTATTATTCCCTAACTTAAGTCCTAAATATCCCACCCCAAAACCTTATAATAAGCAAAATCACAGTTTGAAACCGACAACTATACCACAAATCATACACCAGAGAAAACTAAACTTGTTTTTCATTGAGTACTGCTTTTCCTTCAACTATAAAACCAATAAACATTACTTTTCTAACATCGATGCCTTTTTCCTTGACACCAGCCCTTGTTAATCAAGACCACTTTCTCTATACAAAACTTATATTAATACCTCTTTCAAAACCTTTAAAAACCTAGCAATTTATTTCAATTTCATTCTATTGCGCCTGAAGCAATAATCACAACAATACAGAAGCAATAGACAACAATCAATAATCAAAGACGCAGGAAAAATAAAGCACACCAAGATTTACGTGGAAAACCCTCCAGTGTAAAAGGAAAAAATCACGGACCACCAGAAAAATCTTCACTATCAAATAATAGGTATACAAAGTTCTTCTCTAGCTAAAACTAGAGCTAAATAACAACTAGAGAAAACAATTGGAGAAATCTCACCAAATAAGTGACTCAACAAATACACCTTGGATTTATTCCTAGAGAGCTTCAAACCCGATATTCACTGTTCAGAATATAGAACTCTGAATCATAAACCTCCTGACAAGGTTCCAACTCAATCGGACCACGGATCGACTTCCGTTTAACCAACTTTCCCTTTTCCTTTTTCTTTCTGCTTTTCCTGACTTTTCCTCTTTCTCTACTTGATTTTCGACACACACTTAAAACAACCCCACCTCTTTTTTATTAAGTAGCTAGGGCTTTGTGTAAAATGAAAGATTAAGGCCCATGGCCTTTACTTGGTCCAAAACCACTTACATGGGGTTGGACCCCATTTTCCTAACAATCTCCCCCTCCAACCCCATTAGGATGAGATTCAATCACCATAGTAGTTTCATTTGGAACTTACCTTGGCCAGGAACTCATTTCGGCCAAGTTACTGCAAAGCTCAAGCTTTTCCCTGGGAAGTATCTTAGTTAACATATCTGTTACATTCTTATCAGTATGAACTTTCTTCAACAATATCTATTGTTCTTTAATCACTGAATGTAACCAATGATATCTAACATCAATGTGCTTTGTTCTAGCATGGTACATGGTATTCTTACTCAAATCTAAAGCACTCTGGCTATCACAAAATACCATATACTCTTTTTGATTCAACCCCAATTCAAGAAGAAAACGTTTCATCCAAAGCATTTCTTTACATGATTCAGTTGCTGCAATATACTCAGCCTTTGTAGTTGACAAAGCAACACACTTTTACAACTTAGATTACCAAGATACAGCTCATCCTGCAAAAGTGAACAAATACCCTGAAGTAGATTTCCTACCATCAAGATCGTCTGTTATGTCAGCATCCGTAAACCCTTCTAGAACTGGTTGTGAAACTCCATAAGTCAAGCACATTTTTGAGCTACCCCTTAAATATCTAAAAATTCAATTCATTGCTTCCCAGTGAACTTTCTTTGGATTAGAAAAAAATCTGCTCATTACACCAACTGCATGAGCAATGTCAGGCCTTGTACAAACCATAAGATATATTAAAGAATCGACTGCAGAAGAATAAGAAATACTAGACATAGCTAGCTACTTTTTCTTAGACACTGGACAAGATTTCTTACTTAGATGAAAATGGTTAGCAAGTGAACTGCTAACTGATTTAGCATGTTGCATGTTGAATCTACCAAGCACTCGTTTAACATACTTTTCCTGTGACAACCATAGCTTTTCAGCTTTCCTATCTCAGATAATGTCTATACCAAGAATCTGCTTTGCTGGACCTAAATCCTTCATATCAAAGGACTTAGACAATTGTTCTTTCGACCTGCAAACCATACTAACATCTTGTCCTACAATCAACATATCATCAACATATAATAATAAGATAATGAAGTTACCATTAAGGAATTGTTTAACATACACATAAGAATTCGCTGCTGTTCTTTTATAGCTATGACTCACCATAAAAGAATCAAACTTCTTGTACTATTGTCGCGGAGCTTGTTTCAAGCCATACAAGCTTTTCTTCAATTTGCAAACTAAGTGCTTTTTTTCTTTCACTTCAAAACCCTCAGGCTGATTCATATAAATGTCTTACTGCAAATCACCATGCAAAAATGCAGTTTTAACATCAAGTTGCTCAAGCTCAAGATTCAAACTGGCTTTCAATCCCAGTACCACTTGAATAGAACTCATCTTTACAACTTGAGCAAAAATCTCATCAAAATCGATGCTTGGTTTCTGAGAAAAACTTTTACTACCAATCGAGCTTGGTACTTCATTAGTTTGTCACCATCTTTTTTCAACTTGAACACCCATTTATTCTTTAATGACCTCTTTCCTGTTAGAAGTTTAACAAGATCATAGTACCATTCATTCGTAATGACTCTATCTCTTCTTTCATTGCTTTTAACCAGTGCTCTCTATCCAGAGTAACCTGCACATCTTGAAAGCTTTCTGGCTTCCCTTCACTGGTAACTAAAATAAAATCTAAACTTGGATACCTGGTAGATGGCCTACGCTCTTTAGTAGATCTCCTGGGCTGAAACTCTACATCACTTGATGTCGAAGGTAGCTCTCCATGCTCAACACTCTCAGGTAGAGAGAATTGCTCCTCCTACTCAAAACTAATAGCATCTGACTCATCACCAATTGTGGCTAGCTTATTCATATCATCAAGTTCTATTTCTTGCTCATTTTCACCATCTGTGGCTCTTTCTTGTGGAATCTCTGTCGGTGTTGAAACATCACACTCAACAGTAACCCATGTAGTTTTCTCATTTTTTCAAGGTCTACTATGGTTTCTTTTTCATGAAAGACCACATCTCTGCTTCTGACTGTCTTTTTCTTTACTGGATCCCATACCCTGTAGTCAAATTTCTCATCACCATATCTTACAAACACATACTGTGTAGCTTTACTGTCAAGCTTTGATCTCTGCTCTTTCGGTACATGCATGAATGCTTTACACCCAAAAACTTTTAAGTGAAAGTATGAAGTATCTTTCCCTATCCACATTCTTTCTGAAATGTTAAAGCTTAAAGGAACTAATGGTGACTTGTTAAGTAAATAACAAGCTGTGTTGACTGCTTCACCCCAGAATGGCTTGGGTAATTTTTTCATCCTCAACATACATCTGACTTTTTTCACAATGGTGCGATTCATTCTTTCAGCTATACCATTATGCTGCGGTGTTCCAAGTTTTGTCTTCTCATGCCTGATCTCATGCTTTGAAAAATATTTTTCAAAGCTTTTAGATGTGTATTCCCCACCATTATCAGTTCGAATACACTTCAAGGGTAACCATGTCATCCTTTCAACCATGGCATGAAATTTTGAAAATACTGTAGTACCTGACTTTTGTATTTCAACATATATACTCAAGTCTTACATGAAACATCATCAATAAAAGTAGCAAAATATCTGCTACTACTCAATGACTCAACCTCAATGGGACCACATACGTCAGAATAAATTAATTTCAATATATTTTCTTTTCTCTGAGAACTTTTACGAAAAGAAACTTTATGATGCTTACCAAACAAACAATAATCACATGAATTGAGAGACATATATTTGGTCAAAGGAATGAGAGACTGTCTTGTCAAAACCTGTAACTTTTTTTCACTCATGGTGCCAGTCTCCTGTGCTACAAGTTTGTTAAAGTATCATTTTTAACGGTATTTACTTGGTTACCGTTCAATTACATCCATGTCTTATACATTGTGTAGCATAGTTTTCCCCTTGCAACTACCATAGATCCTCTAAGAAGCTTTCACTGTCCATTCTTTTATCGACTTTCATATCCCTCTTTATCAAGGATATTAATAGCAAGCAAGTTCATTCTCATATCTGAAATGTGTCTGACATCCCTCAAAGTTAACATGCAGCCTGTACTAATTTGTACAATAATATCACCAATCCCAATAATTTGTGACACACTCTTGTTTTTCATCTTGGTACAACCAAAATCTCTTGCTTTG